CATCAGCTGGACAACAACAGTAACATCATCATCAGCTGGACAACAACAGTAACATCATCATCAGCTGGACAACAACAGTAACATCATCATCAGTTGGACAACAACAGTAACATCATCATCAGCTGGACTACAACAGTAACTGAACTAGAAACATCTTCATTCATTCATATTTCCTCTTCTTTCAACGAGAGGAGGGGAAATCAGGCCCATCGGTCGCTAGAGTTGGAAACCAACAGCCCATTCTTTAACTAACTGAACTACCACTATATATTACAAGCTTTCATTTTGTCGCTGTCTCTATCCCTAATGAAGTTGTAGTAAATATCTTAAAAATTGGAATTCTTCTCATTATTAAACTCCTTGCTTCGAGAAGATCTCTTAACTGTGAGTCTTACACGTACAAAGAAGTATGGCTAAATCCCGTGGAGACAGCTAAACCTTACAACAGAGAACGCTGCTCACCACATCTCTGGCTGGTGGTCACCATATCAAAAACGCATGAACTGTTAACTTACGTCCACCACAAACAACTTAATGGGCATTTTATTATCTTCTGACCCTCAGTAGAGCCATCCAAATCCTGATTGTTCTACGGCACGCTTCTATTAACCACCAGAAATGACATCTGAGCATTTCGGTTTACTACCATATAAAACCTGACCTCAAGAGCCGCATGGAGCTTGTATCCCTCCCCACCTTTTGTTTGTAACGTAATCAATTCTCCTGGGTAGTACTGAAACAGAACTACCAAAGATATGTCGATAATCTCTGTCCACTAGTAGTCTACTAGCAAATGCTAGACTGTAAAATAAGCCATATAAGCTCGCTAGATCCAGATATTATCTACTGACGAGACTCCACTGATTGAAACGAACAGCGCTTGAAGAAGACCTGGTGGGGGAGGGACTTAATAGGAGCAGTTAGGACAAGAAGTAGGATTACTTATAAGCCTGTACTACCCGAAGTCCTCCACGCATTAATAAAACTCGCCACAAATCTTGTTTGGTGTTCTATAATATACACGCTAACCAGATTACTATCAAACGACGGTGAAATCCATTCCAGGGTTAAAGACCAGTACAGGATACTAATTTCACATAATGTATTTTTTTTTTCTTCGCTGACGGCACTAGCTAAGATACAAATAAACATGTGTACAGTAAGTGACGGACTTGTGTATAGTATCTAAGACACGAGTACATTAACTAACAGACTGGTGTTTCACAAATATTTCATTTCATACTATAATGGTGTTCTCGATGAAGCTTTTAATGGCGGAATGATGGAAGTAATAAATGACATATTTATGAAACGTACAATTATCCGTTCTCTTCACTTCTGTAATTATAGTTTCACCAGGTTATCGAGAGATGCGAGTAAACGATAAAAAACGCAATTAACGGCCATGATGGAACTACTTAACACAATCACCTATAGGAGCGCTGTATTTTGTATAAAATATTTTAATGCGATTTGTTCTTCTTCTAATCTTTCCAAAATCGCTACACCGAAACAAACAAATCAGAAGAGGTGAATTATGTAAACAATATAGTAACGAGGCCGATATTCAAAGCACGAGAATGACCTTTGAATAATTTTGGTTCTAAAGGTCATCGTTTGTCGTTGAATGCACGGCGCATTCGCTATTTGCGTCTGTTTCATTCAACATTCCTGAAAAAAAAAAAAAAAGGGAAACGCGGCCAAATTATACATATATGGTCCGACAGGTAGCGTTGTAACACCCGTACAATAGAAAAGTAGAAAAAACAAAGTTTCAGAGGGCGGGGCAAACTGAATGTTAGAACGCGAGTGTAGTCCTGACAACCTTACAGAACGAACGCTTATCTTTTCATGGCCATCCCATAATAACACACTACACTTGTCAGTTGCAGACAGTAAACGTTTAAAGTAGTTGGTGTTAAGAGAGTTCTGGTTCGTTTAACTTGGTTACAAAACGGTTCGTTATCATGTTGTAACTAAGATACACAGCAGTAAAGTCGCACATTTGCTGAATAATTTTTCATTTTATATTAAAACAATCTCAATCAGTCATGTATCAGAACGTATACTGACTCCGCCCACGCCTTTTGTGGGTGTTCATCTAGGTGATCTGAACACAGTCGTGCCGTACTGTTACTAGTAATAGAGGCGGCTGAATCGCTAAAAAACTGTTAGTTACTAAACACACAATGGCATACTATAAAAAAACGACTCGCACACACACCCTGTAACTGATAGGCGATGTGACGTTCTATTATTAGTCAGGACAGTACGTAATTGTAAATCATGAAACATGACAGTGATCGAATCAAGACAGAGTTAAGAGTAAGATAAAAAGTCTGAGAATTTCGGTTTATCAGAATATTTTATCGATAGCCAGTCCAACTACGAGTCCTGTTTGTTACAACTGTACATATTATAAAATCTGTTTATCTTAATAGGTGGCGCTCTGACTTAAAACTCGTTTCTGGAAATGACAAAATTGCATAATGATCAAAAGATTTTGGCCAAAGTGCGAAAGATTATTTACAGGGGGGGGGGTTCCAGGATGTTTTTTTTGTGTGTGTGTGTGTATGTTTTTCCGCCAGGTCATGAAATCTTTTTTGAGAAATTCACTTTCTTCATGAGAAATAAGGGTACCTTTGTTTTCGAGGAGGTTATAACCCTTTCCCCAATCAGCTAGTGATCTATACTGAACGCGTTTTCTAATCCATCTCCTCCAAAAGTTAAGATAAAAACCGTCAAATAGTATTTCGAGGGGGTTTGTACCCCCCTACACCGATCAGCTAGTGATCTATACTGAAATCATTGCCTCCAAAGATAAAGATAAAAACCGCCAAACAGTATTTCGAGGGGGTTTGTACCCCCTACACCGATCAGCTAGTGATCTATACTGAAACCATTTCCGATAAAGATAAAAAACCGTCAAACAGTATTTCGAGGGGGTTTGTACCCCTACACCGATCAGCTAGTGATCTATACTGAAATCATTGCCTCCAAAGATAAAGATAAAAACCGTCAAACAGTATTTCGAGGGGGTTTGTACCCCCTCCCCCATCAGCTAGTGATCTATACTGAAACCATTTTCTAATCCATCTCCTCCAAAGGTTAAGATAAAAACAGTAAGCTTCAATAAGATATCAAATTACTTGATTTCAGAAGTACCAAATAATTACATCAAACGTTGCACGTTAGATGTTTAATAACGATACACAAACTGTTTGAACTTAATAATAATAAAAGCTCGACCACATTATCTTCCACTACCTCCCCACGAAATTCACCAAAAGACAATCGACTTTACGACCTCAAGAGCCAGGCTTTGCAGCAACTGAAACGTATATTAAAATTCTATTCTTCTCCGTATCAGATACTTGTCGCTCCTGAATAGTTTAAGACGGTTATTACCGAGAAGTAGTTATGCAGCAGTCGTAAAATAATATGGCCTTCAAGAAGCGCGAAGGCCAAACAAACTTAAGTGCCGCCTGTAAATCGTGTTTCTCTGCACGGAGCTGAAACCTTGCAGAGAAAACACCCTTCTGTGTATTTTCTAAACGTAAAACAAAGCTAATTATTTTCTCCGCTGGTATTCAATAGATCAAAAGGCTGAGTTGAGGTATCCACTGACAGGGGTCAGGACTCGACCCAGGCTTAATCCGTTAATATACGACCAATCCTAACAAATCATCGCCTGGGGTGCTATTAGGGGGGCAGTGCTCATGAATGAGAGATGAAGATCGTATCCAAGGTTCCAGCAATAGCTAGGTTATTCTTCCCTGGAGAATAACAAAGCATGCTTCTCCTTACAAA